GATGCTGTGGGATGCGGATGATGTGGGATGCCCCAGGATGCTGTGGGATGCCCCCAGCCCTCCCCCTCCATCCATCCCCACACACTGGAGCGGGGCTGGGGTCGGAGCATCCTCCGCAGCCCCAGCAGCTGCCCCATCCCTCCCCACCGCGCTGCCGACGCCGGGGTTCGCTGCCTGGCAAAAGCGTTTAGCAGAAGTGATTTGCAGCGGAGTTCTTTTGAGAACCCAGGGGAGAGCGGTGGCAGCCGCACGCTGCAGCATTTTAAACCACATCCCTCATCTGCGCAGATTAATACTTTCCTGGGAAGAGCAGCCGAGCTGCGGCTTTGGGTTTAGTTATTTTTTTTAAAGTGCTGGGTAAACTTTGCTGGTCTTGCTTAGCTCCCGGTGAGTGCCGAGCAGCCCACTGCCCTCGCCGTACGGCAGCCGGCACGTTTCTGGGGCTGAGCACGCTCATCCCATCCTTTTTAGGTTCTCCTTTTCCAAAAGCAGGCTTCGCTCGTGTGGGTTTAGGAGGCATCACAGGCAGAGAGAGGATCCGAGGTGGCATCCTGAGCTGCTGCGCGGTCTGTCCGGGGCCGGAGCGGGTCCGTGTGCCGGGATCCCCTGGCGCCGCGGGGCCGGCAGCCCTTCGCCGCACTGTAAAAGCACTGCGCTTTGCTTTTTTATTTTATTTAAGGACTCGGACACTTCCTCAGCTATTTCTTCAAATTATTTTCTTCAGAAGAAAATTGCCGTCGTGGTGCATAAGCCCTCACGGCGGCTCCCCCCCCCCAGCCCCTGCTCGCTCCGCGGAGGAGGAGGAGGAAGGGAAGACACGCTCTTGGCAGCTCTGGCTCCTCATTTCCCCCTCCCACCGCGGTGCTGGAGGATGCTCCTTGCCGGAGACGCTGGCAGCGCGTTTGCACGGGATCCGTGCCGTGGCCAGGATGCGTGCCATGGCCTCGCTGCAGTGCTGGCTGTGCCCTGCCAGCAGTGCCGTGCCGGAGCCGTGCCGAAGCTGTGCCCGCCTGCTGCCGCCCGGTGCCAACGTGCTGGGAGGAGGAGGAGATGCATCTCCGCTCCTTCCTCCCGCTCACAACTGGGGTCTGTCTGTCAGCTCTGTGCACGGTGCAGCCGGTGCTGGGCCCATTTAGGGTCCGGGAGCTGGGGGGCTGCCACCAAAAGCCCGTCCCCCCCTCCCCTGCCTGCAGCCCCTGGGCTGGAGGGGGATCCCCTCTCCCCGGGGACCTGTCCGGTGTCCCCCTGGCTGCACCACGGGAGGGTCCGGGTGCTCCTGGCTTGGTCCTGGGTGGGGGGAGCCTCCCAGCCCTCCAGCCGCTGGCGTGCTTCGTTACCAGGCTCAGTGACGAAGAACACGGGATTGCCCACTCTCCCCACCCCACGTTTTGCCGCGTTTCCAAAAATCTTCCTTTCTCACCCCGTTTTTTCGGGGCGGGGGATGTCAATGCCACCAAGG